CTGCTGGAAGTGTGGGGGTTGCTTCGATCGGGGCGCCGATTGGCATCACGACACTCGCTGGTGTCATGTCAGTATAATTGATGAAAGGTACAAAATCTTGCTCCTGCCAAGGGCCTGTTTGGCCTCTTTTTCTTCTTATTGTTGTTGTCAATTCTTCCAGATGGTCCTACCTCAGTGGGTGCGTTATCATATGCCAACACCGGCACTGCGTTCAATGTGGCGGAAGCTAGGGCCTGTCCGGATGTGGGAGCTGTGGTATGCCCTGCTTGGGTCCATTGCTGAGTAACAAGGTGCGCTGCGGGGCCTCGACCTATCTGCCTCTGTGGGGAAGGGAGTCCCTGCGCGGCACGGTTGCGATGATCAATCATTTCTTCACTAACAATTTCCACTCTCATCATCTCCACCAGCTCGTCATATGTGGAGGGATTTTTGCTGCGCACGTCCCTCCAAAACAAAGTGTTCATGTTGAGACCACCTTTCAGGGCTGAAAGGGCTTCCCTGTCAGTGACCTGCTGGCAGTAAGTAATTTCGTCTGTAAACCTGGCGAGATAGCTTTTCAGCGTCTCTCCAGGGGCCTACCTTATGTCTTGCAGGCGTTGAATTGACGCCTCTCCTTCCCTGCGTGAGAGGTACTGGTTCAAAAATACTTTCTTCAAGTCTGGCCAACTTCTGATGCTTAGGGGAGGAAGCCTGCTGTACCACACCTCGGCGGCTCCGCCTAGCGTTAAATGGAAGGCTCTGCACTTTAGAGCAGGTGAGGCTCCCTTAAGACTCATTTGTGTCATATACTTTGTGAGGTGCTTCTCCGGATCCCCTTTTCCCTCATACTTGGGGATCTTAGGGGGCATGAAGTTAGTTGGCATTGGGAAGCTTCGAATTTCCCTTGAGAAAGGGAGGTTATCGTCATCGTCGTCAATCTCATAAGATCGACAGGGCCCCTTTGATCCTTCATCATCTTGGATGTCTTGGGGTGGAGGAGGCGCTTCCCCCCAGCTCCCTCAATCGACTAAGTTTCTCCTCTCTTTCCTATTTCTAGGAGGAGGGGGAACATGCTCTTCTTCGCGGTCTGACCGGACCGACCCTCTTGCCGGGCGGACCCTATTGCTAGGATCGTTCCCTATCCGATCGAAGACGCTCACTGACCTCTGGTCGTCGTGTTCTTGAGGAAAGTTGTCCTCCAAAAGTGGTTCTGATGGGTGACTCTCCTGCGCATAAGATGTCGCTTCGGTGTTCCCCTCTCTTTCTAGAGGACGTTCTGTGTGCCGGCTCATGTGGCCTCGAGAGTGAGACAAAGGGATTTCCTGTACCGGATAAGATCCTTGGGGCCTCTGGTGTCCCTGGGCTTGCATGAGAAGTTCCCGTATCGCCATATTCTGAGCTGCTATGTCTCTCATACCCGCAGCTATCTGGGTCATTCCTTCAGTGAGTATGGCTGTTCTTTCGCCCCGTCGACGCCGGTGATGCGGTCTCTGATGAGTAACATTGTTATGGAGTACCTCTTCTTCAGAGGCCTCTCTCATGGGATTGTCTTCACGGCTATAGCTCATCCTACCTCTTTTCTTCAAGGGTAGTAAGAACTTGGATTGTAATTCGACTTTGTTCTTTTTTGAGAATGCCCCCTTTTTCAGGGTCAGTCGCCGGTTTTCTGGTGTCTTCTCCGATGGGGAATGCAAAACTTCAAATGGGGAGTGAGCTTCCCACAGACGGCGCCAATCTGTTGACCTCCAAAAATGGCTCCTCCACGTGGCCAACTTATAGCTACTCCACGTATTCCTCCCTGCGAAATGAACAAACGGTCAGGCGCACACGGCCGGAACCGATGGGGGTGGCGGCGGCCATATACACTCCGACGGTCAAGTCAGATCTGGGTGGTTGGAACAGTGCCCAGTGGCTACACAAATCAATCAATAAAGGGTGAGGAGAATATATAAACTTGTTATGGAATGCTATGTATTGAGAGTTTCATTACCTTTGCCTCTTGCCAAACCTTGGGTATTTATAGGTGGTATGAACCGCTGGATGTGGAACGCATGTGTACATCTGACGGTATGAAGCGTCTGCTCATAGGCGTCAATCAGCCGTGCTTGTAGAGTGGGCGGACAGTTTGTTTTCCCCGAGTTGAATTGACATAAAGTTGATAAGTCCCATCAAATAGCCTCATGGAGACGTCAAATCAATTTAAGCCTTAGGTGCAGGACAAATCTTAAATTGGCGACGGATCTTCTAACCGGGATCCACTTGATCTCGACCTCGGAGGTGAGATGCTTCGGCAGATCAGTAGTAGAAATTGCTATATCACTTCGGAGAAGCTTCGGGAGGGTCGTTTTCAGGTTGGAGTAAATAGTGCTGCGTAGGGTCTATTTGATCTCGGCCTCGATGGTGAGATGGCACTTCGGTATCGAGGTGCGAATAATCGAGGCGTAACATAGAGCTTAGGCTCCAAAAATAAAAATTATATCTTTTTTTTTTTTTCAGTCTTCGTTTTCCTTATTTTTTTTCGTGTTCTTTGCGTTCTTCAATCCATAAAAATGACAAAAAAAAAAAATTTCAAACGTTATTTTTGGGCTAATTTAGCATCCAAATAAATCAATTCTCGTTTATTTTGCTGATTTTGTAGTTGAATTTTTTAGCAAAAAATTTTCCGAAAAATTACCAACAGTTTTAAGTTCATATTTTTTAGTGAAGTAAAAGAGAGTATATCCATATACTCATATATTTCAGTCCCATCCAATCCAAAATTCAAGATCAACTTTCTTTAATTAAAAGTTCCCATTCAAGAGTGTCCAATTCTTTTCCTTTTTTCTTAAGTCTTCTAAAGTTATATATCTCACTCCCATCATACTTTGAGAATAAGACTTGATAAGTTCGGTAAAGTAGTTCGATGAAGGACGAGATGGAAGCAACCCAGGAAAATGGGCATTTTATTCAATTTCCTTTTCTAATATTGCATTAATATGTAGAAGCTTTGTACAAAAGTTACATAAAGTGATCCGAGATATTAGCTCATCAAAGTTACATATTTACACAGCATCACACTGCGAAATTTGAAAGCTCGGGCAGATTGTCGAGTATTTAACTAAAAAGACTGATTTCACAAAGAAATGTACCACATACGAATGTTGAAAATAATCTCATATAAAAGTATATCTTCTGTCGAATTGGCATGCATCTAAGACAATCAACTGCGTAGCCTACTTCATCCACTTCATCCATCGTTTAGTCACACAAACTTCCAAGAGAACTTGCCCAATTGGTAAAGGCAAACATACCAAAATAGAACTAGTCCTTGGATGATTTGTTAATAAGCGACTTGTGGATGTGCGGAATTACACCTCCTCCGGCAATGGTTCCTTTGATCAGAGTATCGAGTTCTTCATCACCTCGAATAGCAAGCTGGAGATGCCTCGGAGTAATACGTTTAACCTTCAGATCCTTACTCGCATTGCCGGCTAGTTCCAACACTTCAGCAGTTAAATACTCTAATATTGCTGCAGAGTAGACGGCCGCTGTTGCTCCCACCCTCCCGTTTGCCATGGTTCTTTCCTTCAAGAGACGGTGTATCCTACCAACTGGAAACTGCAGCAGAATTTATGGATGTACGTTCCAAAAAATTATGAAACGGAGATGATATAATTCACAAAGAACCAGGTACATGTAGAAACGGTCAACCATCAAAGAATAATAGCTTATCGAGAATTTAAAGAACTACTTCAACTAAAATCTTGTGATTTTTGTCTAATAGTTTCTTTTCCTTTATTGTTTTTTTTTTTTTTTGGGCAGTGGGGAAGTGACAATCAGTTACTTTCCCCTCTTTTACAGACAAGGAGGAGGACGTTATGCAGATTTGAATTGCAAAGACTGAAGATTGATGTAAATCCCTGACTCAAAGAATTCTAATGAAGGGTAGGGGCATGGAGGACTGCATAAGAAACTTCTATGCCCAAATCTAACACGAATATGCTATTAACCTTAGTTCACCAACAAATTAACAAAGATGAGTGAAGGGTAGCTTTGGCATGGAGGACTGCATAATATTTTGGCTTCTTTTTCTTCGGTTTTTTTCCAATCGACCACCCTCCCGTTTACTCAAGATCTGATCTGTGGGTAACTATAAACTCAAACACAAAGACTTCAAGACTTCTGGTCATCAAGAATAATACTTCACGGGTAAAAATGAGGAAAAAAATGTTAGGCAATACTGAAGCTACATGTATTAATATGATAAAGATAATTTAAAGGATAAATAGTATGAATGAATTCAACGTATACAAAAATTTTAAAACACAGCCCCACAAAAAAGCTACTAGATTTACACCCATTTCCCTCCCTCTGATAAGCTTTTGGAGAAAGAGAGAGAGAGAAATAACAAGCACAAACATAAACTTGAAAAGCTTCATATCTGCTAAGTGCTTATTTGCTTTTATCAGCCTTGATAGGAAAAGTTTATTTGCTTTCGATTTGCATTCTTATCAATGTGCTGTTGATTAATCATATTCGTTTCTATCACTTCCATTTCACCGTATCGTTTTCCTTAATTTCAATGACAATTATTCGATTTTTCGCTAGTCTCCATGTTTCGTCCTTTTCTCTTATCCAAAAAGAAAGCAGAGAATTTTCCCTCATAACCTCCTTTCAGAAGCAGGCAGTAAATTGGAAATAAAAACTCATATCTTGTAAAATTATCATCATCAATAAGAACGAGCCTAAAGAACAAATCTTACTCAAAAGCCGCCAATTTCCTAACCAAACGACAAATACATATAACCAATACACAATTACCCCAAAACTTATACTCCCTCATAACTACAAATTAAACTTCAAAAAACAAAACTAAGACCCTACAACCCTTTCACAGACACCCAAAAACTTACCAGCAATACAAATCATCTTCGAAACCCAAAAGAAATAAAAGCAGATCGAAACAGTTACACAAATAACAAGAACTTGCAAATTTTAGAATGGAGAATTTGGATAGGGGTGCACCTGGAGTCCGGCACGAGAAGATCGAGAGGTGGGTTTCTTCTTATCCTTGTCCTTGCTTCCACCTGCGGCCGAGGTTTTGCCCATAATCAATCCTTTTGCACCTTTACCCGACATTTTCACACTGATTTATTCGATGACAATACTCAAATCTATGTCGGAGATTTCGTAGATAGAACAAGCCGACGAAGAGCAGAGACGAGATGATCGGGGATTGAGCGGAGTGGATTTTGATATATAATGACGAATTTACCCTTGACTTTTGTATATTTGTGTTTCTTGAGGGTAAATTGCACTAGAGATCATCAAACTTCAATTTAGTTCAATTAAGTTGCACTAGAGATCATCCAACTTCAATTTAGTTCAATTAAGTCACTACTTTAATCCTACCTTCTCTTATAAGAGTCTCTTTAAGTTTACTATTCATTTTTGTATCCTTAGATTTCACACCACTGTAGCAAAATTGGTTTGCAGTGCTTTTTCCTATTTTCAACTTTTTAGCCCACCTTTTTTGACTATTTAGCAAGATATTATCTTTTACATTTCGTATTCTCCAAACCACCTGCACATTTTTGCAGACTATCAATTCAATTCGTATCTCTCTTATACTTCTCCAGTTTCATTCTGTATTGAAAACTCAAAACAAAAACATTGAACTCCCCAACAATTATCCATAAAAAAAGAGTTAACGATATAATAATTGCAACGACAACGAGGACGAGCGAGGTATGAATTGTTTGACCCAATTCTTTTTCGCAAATTCCTAGAAATTATGAAAAAAAAGTTGGGAATTTTTGTTCTGCTGGTTTTCATGTGATTAATTTGGTTTTCGATGTAATTTTTATTTGTTTTAGATCTATGGTGGAAAACGAATGGTTTTATGCTTATTTGATTTAATGAGATTTGATTTTAGTTATAAAAAAAAAAGTTTGATTTTTTGTTATTTAAATTCAAAAGAAAAGAAATTCATATTTGGTTTTAATGCTACCTTGCTCAGTTGAATTTTCTTTTTAGGGTTTTTATAGATCAATTTTCTTAAAGTCTATTTTCATTTTGCTGAATATTTTGAAACATTTTTTTGAAAAATATAACGTATAGTTAATTGTTTTAGATCATATAATGGAAAAAAAATTGTTTTTATGCGTGTATGGATGTTATGTTTTTAACTTTCCTTTTTATGTTGTTGTTGTTGTTGGTTGGTTGGTGTTTTTTTTTTTTTTTTTTTTTTTTTTTTTTTTTTTTTTTTTTTTTTTTTTTTTGGTTGTTTGGGTTTTTTTTTTTTTTTTTTTTTGATAAATCTGTTTTCTTGAAGTTAAGGTTTCAACCTGAGACCTTTTTTGAGTGCTGCGATTTTTGTTAGGTAATGTTTTATTTTTGGGGGTTTTAGGATTTCATTTGTTTTTAGGGATTTTGGGTAAATCATTTTAAGGATCTTTGATTTATAGACCCAACGTTTTTTTACTTTAAGGCCACTAGAGTTTTTAGTACCAAGGTAAACTCTCAAGCCCTCTCTCTCCTACTCCTCCTCTTCTTGCCTTTCTCTTTCATTTCCAACCCAATCACTCTGAGGCACACCCAAGCGTTGCTGCTCAACCATAATCTACCATTTTTTTAGATATTCTTACCAAATATGATCGACGCAACAATGATTTCATGGAATAGTTTCAACTTCCTGAGATTAGACACACGATTATCAAACTCAGTACTATCATGTTGCGTGCATCCCTTAACAAACTTGGAAAACTAAATGACTAAAACTTAAAAGGAATATACATTAGATAAAATATATGGAATCATAGAATTGTAAAAGTAGTAATACTTACTTATAATAATACAAAGTGATTGACTCTTTTATGTAGTAATAATAATAATAATAATAATAATAATAAGACCCTAGAAATTCCCTAAGATTCATTCAATCTAGTTAGCACAATTGTTGTATATTTTGCTATTATGAGAGTGCAAAAGAACTTTAATGATAGTAGATATCCTTGAGTATCAAGTATCTTCTTCATCAACAAAAAATGTAGTAGTCATTTTGAAGGATAAAATCTCTCATAGTAGGAAGAAGTTGGCAATGAGAAAGGATACAAGGTACTAAGAATGGATTGAGGAGAAGGAATAGTAGGAAATGCTGATAACTTAAAATAAGATTCCCACGTTGAAAACATTAAATAAACACTAAAAAGAAACATAAAAAATGTAAACTCCATAGATATTTGACTTCATTCTCCTTTAATATTGAAGATATTTTTTTTTTTTGGCTTTTACATTTGATGGCTTAAACTGCCTTCATAATTGGAACAAGTTATGATTCAATCCAGATTTCAATTCAATTTTTTACAAATTATGATTCCTAATTATTCCATTTAATTCAAAAACAGCATGGGAGTTTATTAGGAAACGAGGTTTTATAAATGCATTTCACTACTGCATTATATTTGTTAGCTGAACACTTTTTCAATTAAAATAGTCATATGTTCAACTATTACTCAAAAAATGCAAAATGAATATTAGGGAAATTTAAAATATATATATATATATAAGAAAAATCAACTCATTTTTTTACTTACAAATTACCTTTCATGAATTTTTCTCCAAAAAATACAATCAAAGGGAGAAAACTTACAATTTCTGTTAACTAAAATTTTAGGCTCATTTCATTTAAGCCCAACAAATGATCTATACAAATGGATTCTTCGTCCTCTTTCCATGTGTGCATATAACGTGAAATGCATGTACATTACTTAAATATTTATATATGTATATATACTACACACTTTAGCTTGACAATTTTTGTTAATTTTGCAGTCGTTTGTTGTTGTGGTAGAATTTCTATATTTTTATTCTATGTAAGACGATTGTTTATTTTTCTTCTATAGGGAACGAAGAACAAATGTAGAGAGTTTGAGATTATGTGTAAAATTGTGATGTATTGGTGTATAGAATTTATTTCGTCAAAATAAATAAATTATAATTTTTGTGTAATATATATTTGTGATTTCTAATTCAAATGCATGTATCTAATGTGTTTTTTACTATGTTGTATTTATGGTTAGTTTAGTACTAGGTACGAGCATTTTCTTATCCCAATGGATTCTTCGAAACCATCTGCAAATCAATTGCCTGGTTTTTGTAACATTGAAAGCGTTCACGAAAGCATAAGTGTATCATCTAATGCATTCATTCATCAGCAAAAAAGTCAAAGACAGGCAGACGGGAGGAATTGAAGCCAAACCGTGTGCATTGATCATCGTAGAAGAGTAAGTGATCCTAGAGTATCTGAAAATCATAATCTAGGTGCTACTCAAGTTGATCAACATATAATATGTTTTGAATATGAGCCTTCTACTTCGAATAAAAATCGACAAATTTTCATCTTTCTGAACTACAAGGAAGTGTTAATTTGTTAAATATACCAACCACAACATATGTATTATCGACATGCAGTTATTGTAAACATTGTGGTGCACGTAAATTCTATAGGGAAAGTAAAAGTTTTTGTTGCTCTGATGGAAAAGTTAAACTATTTATACCAGATTCGCCAACTGAATTATATGATTTATTTACTTCTAAAGAGCCTACATGTATAGAATTCAAAAGGTTGTCACGAAAATTACTTTGCGTTCACTTTATTTAGTGTGAAGTATGATAAAGAACTTTTTCAAACGTATAAAGGTATTTATACATTTAGAGTTCAAGGACAAATATATCGTTATGTAAATAAATTTATGCCAGAAAACAATACGCCTTGTTATATGCAGTTATATTTTTATGATACGGAAAATGAGCTTGAAAATCGCATGAAAATTTCAGAAAATTTTGTTGAATCTACTATGATTATGTTAATTGAAATCTTGAAAGTAAATCCATATAGTAAATCCTTTAGGTGTTTAAGTGATATGACGAATTTGCACAATCATCTTATACAAATAAGATGTGACCCAAGAATTGATCAGATAGTTTTTAATACTCCTTTGGCGTCTCAAGTAGCTGCTGTATGGGTTGATGATGATGAAAATACAAATACTCGTGTTCGTGTTATTATTATATATGGCTATTCTGATGATTCCCATAGAGTTCATTATTATTATGGTTGTTATGATCCTTTGCAATATCCTTTGATTTTTCCATTAGGAGAATCTGGTTGGCATGAAAGCATACAAAGATGCAAAAGCATAAATGTTTAATCTCGTAATTTGGTCGATTGTGTTGCAGTTCCTAACTCAATAGATTCTGAAATTGAAATTATTGAAAAAGAGGCTGCAGGATTGTTCATATAATTTTTCATACAATTTTTAATTTTTGCAATGTCACAGTTGTTACTGAATATGAAATTTTTTTCCTATTTTTCTCATGCAGTGCTTAATGGAACAAAGAAATGATCTTAAGCTTCTTGTTGCGAATACTATTCATTTAAGTTACATATTAGGCATTCTGGTAAGTTTGTATTACTTTATACTGGTAGATTTTTTCAACAGTATGTTGTAGATATGTACGTCTAGATTGAAACTGCCAAGTTATATTATTTTCGAAAGAATTAGAAACAAATTCGTGTTGAACTCTATCAAGGTATTGTGGATAGTGTTCAAAATGGGGAAACAAGAGGGTACAAGATTAGAAAGAAATTTGTTTTACCACAATCTTTTACATGTGATCCTAGAGATATGCTAAGAAGATACTTAAATGTGATGGCTATTGTTCAATGTTTTGAAAAATCAGATATATTTTTAACTATAACATGCAATCCAAATTGACCTAAAATTAGGCAAGAACTAAAATACAATGATGAAGTTCAAAATCGACCAGATTTTATTGTACGTATATTTAGAGTAAAATTAGAGGAGTTAAAAAATGATTTATGTAAAGAAAATATCTTAGGTCCTGTTGTTGCTCATATATATGTGGTTGAATTTGAAAAAAGAGGGCTTCCTCATGTGCATTTGTTGTTGATTTTTAATTGTGCCCATAAAATTGTATGTGCTGAACAAGTTGACAAAATAGTATATTGTGAAATTCCTGATGAAAATAAGTATTCTTATCTTCATTATGTTATTGTAAAACATAATATGCATGGTCTATGTGGAAACCTTAATTCAAAGAATGTATGTATGCTAAAAAATACTGGTTGTAAAAATAAATATCCTAGAGATTACTGTAACACTACTATATTTGGTGATAATTCATATTCATTGTACAGACGTCGTAATAATGGTATTTTTATTAAAGTTAGAGGCCACATGTTAGACAATCGATGGATTGTTCCATATAATCCTTATTTAAGTGTAAAATTTGACTGTCACATTAGCGTTGAAGTATGTTCATCTATTAAAACTGTAAAATATTTGTATAAATATATATATAAAGAACATGATTGCATTAATTTTTTTGATGGCAAAAATGAAAATATGGAAGTTGATGAAATTTCTACTTATCAATCTGCTAGATGGATATCTCCACATGAAGCTATGTGGAGAATTTTTTTCTTTCAACTTATCAAAAATTTATTCGACTGTTTATTCTTTACAACTCCACATTAAAGATCATCAACAAGTACGATACACCGATAAAGATGATTTATGTAGTATTGTTAACAATGAAAATACGAGGAGAACTATGTTAACAGAATTTTTTCGAATAAATAAAATAAACAAATTTTCTCAAACATTGTTGTATAAAGATTTTCCAACACATTTTGTCTGGAATTCATATAAGAAAATTTGGACTCCTAAAAAGCAACAACTTGTTATAGGATGAATTGTCACCGCGAATCCAAGTGAAGGAGAGAGATATTTTCTTCGAATTCTTCTTAATCACATTAAAGGGCCAGCATCATTTGATGATTTAAAAACTTTGAATGGGGTAACTTATGCTACATATCGAGAAGTAGCACTTTCACATGGTTTTTGAAAGGGAGACAATCATTGTGAAGAATGTTTATCTAAAGCTAATGTATATGAAATGCCTGGTTCTTTGAGACATCTTTTTGCTACAATGCTTATGCTTTGTAATCCTGATCATTCAAAGTTATTGTGGGATAAATTTAAAGCCTACATGATTGACGATTATGTACATCAAAATATATCTTTGGAAATTGTTGAAGTGCGAGCTTTGGAAGATATTAGTTCAATTTTAGAACCTATAGGTAAAGACATCAATGACTATGGAATAGTGCCATATCCTGTAGATATAGATTAGACTAAGAGATTGAATCGAATGGTTGTAGAAGAAACGATGAATTTTGATGTTGAAGGAGGCCTTGTTTGTCCGACAATGTTAAATAAAAACAACAAATTGCATACGATAAGATAATGGAAAAAGTAAAAACTGAATCAAGTGGTGTTCTCTTCATTGATGGTTGGGGGGGGAGGGGAAGATGGAAGACTTTTTTATACAAAGCACTTCTAGCTGGCGTAAGATCTCAAAATTTAATTGCTTTAGCAACAGCGTCTCTGAAGTATCTGCATCTCTTTTACTCGGAGGTTGAACAACTCATTCGAGATTTAAAATTTCTTTAGAAACAACTGGTGAAGTTAGCTATTCTGTTAGTAAGCAATTGGCTTTAGGAACTTTGTTAAAAATGTGTAAGTTAATAATTTGGGATGAAGCACCCATGGTAAACCGTTGTGCTATTGAAGCTGTGGAGAAAATGCTTAGAGATGTTGTTGATTGTGACTTGCCTTTTGGTGGGAAAGTCATAATTCTTGGAGGAGATTTTCGACAGGTTCTAACAGTAGTACCAAGAGGGAAAAAAGAAGACATAATGAAAGCTAGCTTAGTTTTCTTAGAGTTATGACCTTTATATTTATAGCTACATTTGGTTGAAAATATGAGAGCAAAATTAGATCCTGTGTTTTGCGATTACTTACTTAGAATTGGAGATGGGATAGAAAAAGAACACAGTTGTGATTGCATTCAACTTCTAAATAGAGTAATTTTACCATTCGAAGATGAAATTACATCTTTAAAAAATTGATACATCGTGTTTTTCCAAATATAGAAGTATATGTTGATAATTTACATGACATGATAAACAGAGTTATTCTTACTCCTAAAAATGAATGTGTTGACTATATTAACAAAATTTTGCTCGATTAAATTCCTGGTGAAATTTTTACATACTATAGTTTTGATGAAACAATTGACAAATCAGAATAGAGTTTGTAGGAAGATTTTTTGAATAGTTTGACACCAAATGATATTCCACCACATGAATTGAAACTTAAGGTAAATTGTCTAGTAATATTATTGTGAAATATCAATCTTTCTGAAGGTTTATGCAATGGGACACGCCTTGTCGAAAGTTTAATAGAAATGTAATTTTGGCTGAAATCACAACTGGTGAATATCGTGGAAAATACGTGTTCTTACTAAGGATCCCCTTTGTACCTCTTCAAAATGATCGAAATTCAATTAAATTTAAGAGGACTCAATTCCCAATTAGACCTTGCTTTGCAATAACAATAAATAAAGCACAAGGTCAAACCTTAGATTTTGTTGGTTTATACCTTCCAGAACTAGTTTTTTGCCATGGACAACTATATGTAGCATTATCGAGAGCAAAAACAAGTAAATCTTTGAAAGTTTTACTTAAACCATCAAATGCAGACAATTTACACAACGCATGCACTAAGAATGTGGTGTACAAGGAAATTCTTTCATTTATACATTCACAAAACTACAATCTTTTCATAAGTATGTGTTTACTTTTGTTTTCAAATTCAATACAGTTTATTATTATCCATTAGTTTCATTGTTTTTATATGAGTTGTAAAGATTAAACATCTAGATTTTACATCTTTTGTTAATTGGTTTAGAATATGCATTTAATTCAAGAGGGTTAACTAAACATTTAGCGTCATTTATACAAATGACTTTCGTTTGATACGCTTCACTTTTATGTTGCTTTTTTCTTTTCTTTATTGGTTTTTACTACAGTTTCAACCACTTTATGCTTTTTTTTCTTATTGTTTATTTAAGGATGGAAACTTTTGCCTGCAATAACAAGTGATTGCCGACGTACATTTCCATTTTTATACCAGCAAACATGTCATCCATCAAATATAGTTTATATTTGTACGATGAAGGATGAAGAAAGATTGATTTTAATGAACTTCTTAACAAGTTTAATCACATTCCTTTCTTTTTATTCCGGGTAATGGTGAAAGTTACAAACATAGAAGTCCTTTCTTATTTATTTTTAATTGTCAAGCATATTTTGGGATGATTTCTTAGGATTAATAGTAAACTAAAGTTGGTCATAAGCTTAATCATGCTCATTAAAAGAAATTTGGCAATTAACCATCCAATAGTTCGTCTATTTTTGTTCGTGTCTTCGTATCTCTTATCGTGATAAATGCTAAAATTATATTACTATTTGTATTTATTGGTGAATACAACACTTTTGTTAAGACGACTTTTTTTTTTGAATAGGTAAAGTGAACAATTTACTCAATACATAGTGTCAATGGTTTTGTATTATTAAAATATTCTTATATGATGATGCGATGCCGTATGGGTTATAAATTTTTATATAATTCTCAAGTTATATGATAATGATGAAAGCAAATGCTTTATTTGTAAATTGATTTAAAATGCTTAAAATTTAAATTGATATTCGCTAATTGAGTATTTATTGTTTTACTACTTTTCCCTCATTGATTAGGTGACATCACTGGCTACGGAATGTAATAGAGCTTATAAAAAAGGCATACTGTTATGCAGCCTACTACGATGATTTAAATTGCTTAAAATTAATTATTTCTGCTACTCATTAGACTTCGATTACACAGTCTTGGTAACTATTTCTTCCCGATGTTGCCTTATATTAATATATACACCAATGTTTGTCTATTCAAAACAATAAGCTAATTATCGTCGTCAAATGAAAGGTTAGGGCATTTTTCAAATTTGTTAGTATAAGAGATGAGAGTGTGGCAACTCCTAAAAGAATTCCATCCACAAAAAGTACGTTTTTTACTTTTCACACGCCTCTTTGATCTCTTTCCATTCAAGAATATTTGAAAATCTTCTCATGTTCTCCTGTTTCATGAATTTTTGGATTTTTTACCATTTGATTTTATCGCTCCATCGATTTCTTTTGTTGAAAAGTACTGACGATTGTGGCTTTTTTAAGTTCTGTTTTGTAGAGTTTCGAGAAATTAATTCATTCTGAAAAGAAAATGATGAATTTTGTGTGTGGATTTAGAGAATTATGCTTTATTATATTTTGAGTAGTCCAGCATGCACAAAACCAAATGTGAGAACGCTGAATTTTTCAAGGTTCAGGCTTGACTAATCTTTTCCACTAATTATCAAAGTTAGGTAGAAAGCAAATTCCCTATATACTTAGTGTGCCATCCTTTTCTTTAAAGAAATTTCAGTATGAATGCCTCATTATTCAACTATATTAGTAATTCATTATTGTGAATCTTTGTAGGTCCTATATTAGCAATTGTTAAGGAAACAGGAAAACGACTCGGGATGGGCATAAATATATACCCTTCTAGATTTTGGCTCAATAATGATAACGATGATCTTTGCCCACATTTTACTTAGCACTACACTAAATAATCTATTAATGTTTTGGACATAGTAAGATTTTTTTTACAAATTTTGATGTCTTTTTTTCTATTCCAAAATATATATACTCTAAAGTACTAAGAAGGACTGCTTGTACAATGACTACAACGATATATAGAACTATTTTTACTATTATTCAAATTTTTCTATACCATCACAACAGCAAAACATACAATAATTCTATTAACCACTTTAAAGAATTCTTCAAATTCTTTAGCTTATAAAACAATCAAGCATACTAATATTTCCTTAAAAAGAACACAAGCCCATGCATTTCAACTATATAATAATGTAATACTTACAATATTTATTTCTATATATTTCTTTTATATTAACTATTACTTTAATTGAATAATAATGACTGAATTAAGAATTCAAAAGTAAAACCTCTATGTCAAATGATAATAACAATTATATTTTTACATATTTACTTATATAAAATTTTAAATTGTACTTTTCAAATGAAATAAATAAATTTATAAAATGTTTCATACATTTAATTATATCTAATTACAATTTACAAATATTCATCTTTAAAACTTTTATATTAATAAATATAAAATATAAATAAACAAAAACAAAACAACTATGTAAAAAATTTAACTAAGTTCGCAATTTTTTTATTTCATTACTATAATTATTACTTTAAAAAATTACGTATACCAAAATTACATATTTAATAGAAGATCTTTTGTATAATATACACAAGTACAATTTCTATTAAATGATGAATAGATAAGTATAATTATAACTTATATCATAATAGATATTTTTCAACTAACACGTGCTAGAATTACTTTTAAGTTTATCCTTCCAACATATAACTCACGTAGTATGCTTTACCTTTATTTCTCCTATGTCTAAATTGTATATTAAAAAATTCAAAATATCTACTAAACATCTCCTTTAGATGTTTTATAAATACCATACCTTTCTACTCCAACTTTATTCACATATTATTTGTCGTTCTCATTAGCAAATATCAAAGATGACTACATCATATAAACTAATCCCATAGATTGGAACTTCGGAAATGAATTGGTCTACAAAAGTAGTCATTATAGGAAAGCAATTGCCTAAGATTGCTCGTAATTCGATTACTAGATACCAGAATATTGTCCTCATGGATTTACAGGTACATAAGTAATAATATTTTTTCATAATTTTAAACTTTTATTATACCTGTATATTTTATAACTATTTTCAACTGCACTAAAGTTAAACAAGGTAATCAAGTTACAGCAACACTGTACGAAGCAAATATTATTGCGCTTAACAATTAGCTGGACCTGGGAAAAACATATGTCATCTCGAATGCAACAGTGAAAGATAACAAAAATGAGTTTAAAAGCTCAACCAATGAAAAAGTGTGGACGATCACAAGAAGAACAAAAATTGAAGAATTACGTAAGAATAACTTGAACTTTGTCTTCTCACAGTATCAACTTACTCTGTTTGATGAATTAGAACAACACATGGATAAAAATATCAACATCAGTAAGATTTCTAATACATCACTTTATTATCACATTCCACAGTTACCTTATGTCTTTAAATTAACTAAATGCGACATATATATAAAGAAAATTATTTTTATATATATATATATATATATATATATATATATAATTATTTTTTGTAGGTGTTATAGGTATAGCTATGGACATTAAACAAAAATGAATTATCCAAACCCGTTTTGGTACACAAGCTACCCTTTAGGATGTTATATTGATGGGCAAACAATACCAGACAGTGATGCTAACCTTATGGGATAGTTTCGTGGACCGAGAATGTGTTACAATTGTTGAAAATTTTGCACAAAATTATATGGGCTACTAATCTTAATGTGTCTTCATTCAATGGTATAATCTTGCATACCTATTCATTTGAAACATTCACAAAATTACAATCATATATTAATTACTTTTTTTTTTGTTCTACAGGCATTACCCCTTCAACCAAAGTCAATAGCACCATCTTCATTAATTCTGATCTATTAGTTGTTGCAGACTATAGAAACTGATGCTCAAAATAACAACTACATTTCATTAGTAAAAAAAAATTAATACAATAATTATTTGTTTTACTATTTTTATGCTTGTTTTCTTATAGGATGGAGGTTAACAAAGAAAAATTTGACAAGCTTACAGAAAATAAGCAATTTGTTGTCGTAAGTCCGCCAAAACTATCGCCTCCAACTCAGGACAAATTCACGCCAATTGCAGATTTACTGGGAGTGTATTTAGCGGTAATATATTTTCATTTAATATACAAGTAACATAATTTTTTTTTCATATTCTATACTGAAATATTATCAATCGATATTATCTCCATTTACTATCTGTTGAATATAACTAAATATTTTTTTTCCAGAAAAAATTTTATTAGGTCAAAGCACATTGGAAAATCATTTTCAAAAATCAAAAGTTTTGATATATGGCTTGCAACAACTGCAAGAAAACATCCAACGTAGACTTTGGACAAATTTATAAATGTCGATTCTGCAAATGTAAACATGGAAAAGCAGTTTCAAGATAGCTTGTACTATTAAACATATATTAAATTTTTACGTCATATTAATACTTCATTTAAAAACTACATAATACATGTTATGTTTTGCAAAAAAATCATTCACCGAGTGAATGCTTTTGTTCATCTCGAAGACATATCTGGATGGTTGGATGCAACCAGTATTGGCGATGCGGCAGAAAAATTATTGGAAGTTACTGCAAATGATGTAATGAACCATTTCCAAAAGGTAAAATTAAAATTCTAACATTGTTTAATATTATTTTTTTCAATACTTTAACATTTATTATTCTAAAACGTTACTTCTATTACAGGAATCAGATGTAGAAATCGACAGTGTGATGAAAATGGAAAATGAAAATGAAGCACAATTCTATCTGAAAGTCACACACAAACGACGAAACCCTCCAAAATACCATTTTGAAATTATCTTTGCATTGAACTCTTTAACAACAACAAATGCTTCAAATATCACAGTTGATAACAGCAATCCAAGTGAACTGTAGGAAAATTTGAAGGAAAAAAGTACAAAAGGCAAAGAGAAGATGTTTATAGTCTCCCCAAAGTCTAAAGAAGTAACTGCAACAAATGTTAAACGGTCTCCCTTTGAAATTGCAGACGAAATTATTATACCAGACTCACAGGCTAAAAAGAAGTCTCACAAAAGCTATGAAATAGAAGACGAACCAAGTTTGCAAAGTTGAAAATCATTACATTACTTTTGTATCAGTTGACAGTAATAATGTAAACAAGACTGCGTCGTCTACTTGCCAAGTACTGTCAATTGTTAATGAAGAACAGTTTGCAACTTTTGAAAGTTAGGAAGTTGCTTTCAAAATATTTTTGTTCAATGTAAATATTGTAATCTAATATCTTTTGCTAATGTATAACAATCTTTATATTTTTGACAAACTGCATTTTAACAATTTATTACATTTTGTAGTTTTCTTTTTGTATATAAAGATTGCACAGAATTTTATCGATTTTTTGTTCAATAGTTAAATTTATACAACATTGAATAAAAAACAACTAATTTCAATCTATCACCTTTTGCTAATGTATAACGTTTCATATTTTTGCGAACAACACTTCAACAATTTATTAAATTTCGCAGCTTCCTTGTATTTCAAAACTACACTAATCCTTTACAAACTACGAATACATAATTCCAATACATAACTATATTATTAATTACATCAATTACAATAAACTATATTAAATTTGAATTTGTATTTACATATTTCAACTATCAACATTTACTCATACCAACTTCTATCTACCAACATTCATTATATGACAACTATCACATTCAACCACTTAACCATTATCATTTTGGCAACCATTTCATTTTCGTTTCACAAGCAAACATTTGTTAAGCTTCCAAAATCGAATGTCGCCACCGTTCTCACTGCCTACTCTACTATTGGAAAAGGTAATTTTTATGTGATGAAAATAAATTTGGAATTTATTTATGCTATAAAGAATATATAATTTAGCCAATAAGAAATTTAGCGAATACTGTTATGTTAAAAAATCATGCAAAACATTTATACATTATACTCTTGAAACCTTTTCCAATT